AATTATTAAACTACTTGTTAAAAATAAGTAATAAATATGTTTGTTTTGTCACGGCAATTATCATGTTATAGCGTAATTGTATTAAAAATTAGGGTAAAAATAGAAAAAATTGGAATAAATCGCAAACTATTAAAAATAGGTATATGACATACTTAATAAAAGTTGAAGAGCTTTGCAAAATCTATCAGAAAAATGAAAATATATAGGGTGTACCATTTAAAAAATTTGAGATTTTTTAATTTTAAGTAGTTGAAATTCATAAATATATTTTAAACACCCTGTAGCATTTAACTAAAATATCTTAACATATATTTTCTTTTTAATCTCTATAGAACTTTCATTCGCAACCTTCCCTATAACTTTTGTATTCAACATTTTTTTGTAAACCTCGAAACAAATGAGATAATGGACTTTACTCTATCGTTGACTTACCCTGTACATTCCAGTCACAATAATTACGGGAAGAAAGCTCAGAGAAGAATATATATAATATATCTTTGGTTAAATTAAATTTTAAGATAAGCAAACTGTTTCTAGCATAATATTTACCTGTTATGTACATTCTATTTTTTTTATTTTCGTATTCTAAGATTCAATTTGTCAATCTATGTCAACAACACAACTTATAATAATAAAAAATATTCTTTCGTACTATGTCAGATTAAGCCGAAAGTAAAATAGAAATAGTTTCATACTGGAAATAGCTCTTTTTAAATTGTGTTTCGAAAAGAATAAAAACGCTGTCGTGCAGAAAAATGATTTTGTTGAAAAGTAAAATGTGTTGGTTGCTGCTTTTTAAAACTATTATTTTATATTGTTTATTATATATATATATACATATTCTTCTAACGCGATGTAGTTGTTTTCTACCTATACAGTTTGCGGTTATCACAATTACTGCGTCTATATTGATTTACTCAGACATGCAACAACTTTTTCGCTTCAGTCAGGCAAGCCCTGCCTGATTAACCGAAGATAATAGTTTATTCTGGACAAAGCAAACATTTACCGAAGATTACTTGCTTATAAAACACCATTCAAAACAGTTTATATTTATTTAGCTCTAACAAAATGCCCAATGAATGTCCAAACCAGCAAATATGCCACAATGCAGAAATTTTGATCCTAAATCATTGAATAAACTGGAATGCCTAATGTACAAGCATCCCATAATCAAATTAGGCTAACTCGAGAATTATAGCACGGAGCTACAGTTAATTTTAGCGATGGGAACTATCGAATGAATTAGACTATCGAATGGTTACTGAATGAATGATTTCAACTATCGAATGGTTTTATTCGGATAAAATCATTCATTCATTTGTATACTAAAGCATATGTGACAGCCTCGCCGTGCGACTAAATGGTTATCGTTGCGCCACGACTATCGAATGCTTTTGATAAATGAAATTTAGTATTCGTTTGATTTTTGTGTGCATCAGTGCATTATTAGTTCTTCCAAATTTTTATAACTTCGCCTTGTAAATACTATGCTATTTTTGCGTTTATTAAAATATTTAAAATACTAAAATAGTAGTTTTTTTTAATTGACGATTGTGTGCGAAGTGGTCAAAATTTTTCCGACAATTTGTGTGATTTTCCGTAGCCCGATCTTTCAATTATTTAATTTTATATGGTATATTATGGTTAGGTTAGATTGCATTTTTTTAATGGGAAATTTTGAGAAGTAGCAATTTTTAAGAGAGATGAGATGAACTTACAATTAATTTTAAAAATACATATTTGTATTTTAGATATTTGAATAACATGAATTAGTTGAACTTAATAATCATATTTAAGTAATGTGGTTAAGTAAATGGTTATCGAACTCAAATTTTGGGGTGAGAAAATTAAATTGAAAGTTTTTCACGTGCCAATTTAAAAAAAAGTTAACAATGTTTGTATTTTGTTTATGATAATTCTCTTACATGTAGTTTTTTGCGAAGAAATATTTCATTTATTTTTTAAAGTAAATGCCAGCAAAAGTAAATATTATTTTTAAATTGTAATATAAAGTAATAAAAAGTAATATAAATAATTTTGATTTCTAATTTTTTATTTATATTTTCCTTCCATTACACTGCATGCTTAGAAAATTAATAAATGTTTATATTTCATGATTTTAAAATTTGTTGTTAATATAACAAATTAGTTCTGTAACTATTATTATTTAATAAACCAACGTTGCTATTTAGAGACTATATTATTTTTAAATAGGATCTAATATAAATACTTTTGACTTCTATTTGTTGTTTATATTTTGCTACTACTTAAAAAAAATGTTTATATTATTAAATGATTGTAAATTTTGTTGTTAATAGGTATAACAAATTATTACTGTTATTATTATTTACTAAACCAGTCTTGGCTTAAAAACATTAAAAATAATTTTCCCACATCCAAAATAAAAAGTATTATTGCAGTGTAACAACAGAATATTAATAAAAAAATGCAAAACATATAGACATACTATCCCTAACTAACTAATGCTAAAGAATAATATTCTTTGCTAATACCAACTAATACGAATATATGGCAAAAGCGCCCTTCATAATATATTTTCTGTGTAAATACTAGCACCTCAATAAAAAAAATAATGTGTCCTTATCTTTATTTGACTGGCAAAAAATCAAAGATGCCGGCTTCTTTCATAGCTTTGCCACCGAACGCCTGTCGGGTTTCTAGGAAAGAAACCTACGTCGCCGGACGACAACTAAAATCCAGTTTATATTTTATTAAAATCGATCCTGACGAATAAATGAATGGTTTTTGCTGCCGAATTACTAGAATATAATATTTCAAGGCAGATGACGCCTCTATTCGATAATTTTTATTCGAACAGTTTTCGACGAATGTTTTCTTACTAGCTATCGAATTATTCGAATGAATTGCAACTATCGAATGTTTCGATAGTATTCATTCGATAGTTCCCACTACTAGTTAATTTAATACCTTATCCTTATACAAAAGTTTATCACAGACAAAGCTTACTGAATTAAACAAATTTTTATAAAAATAATTTGTTACAAACTGCATTGTTTGAGGTATTATTCAAAAATAAAAGTTATCCAGCAAATTGAGTCAGTATTAATCTAATTAAGCCCATGTTACATCCGGCATTATAAAATAAAACATCATAGAAAAATAAAACGCTAACCTTTTTATTGTGCAACGTCAACAATAGATTACAAAACAGGACCTGCAAAATAATCTATATAAAAGCTTTATTATATAGAAAGCCTGTTGGCCGATGTGATCAAAATCACTTTAGAATTTTCCGTTGCAAAAATTTTACAAAAGAGTTTTTGGAAGGAGAATGGTGCCACGCCACTAAGGTCAAATAGAAACGAAACAAATAATTTTAGCCAGAAAATAATCAGCCATCGTTTATTTGATAATAATTATATTTTCGATCAGCCAAATCCAATGAATAATATAGTATAGTTCGATACATTTCGTCAAATACCTATAAAATGTTTACAGAAGTATAATGAATAACCTATTACATTCTTGAGACCTACCTAGATAGGTGATGTATATATACAGGGTGTCCCAGGCTGAGCGTGTATTCAAGTCGTCATCGTTCTTGAAAAAAAAAATTAGTGGCAAGAGAATTTATTTTAGCGTAAAAGAAAATATTTTGCCTGAAGAAAAACTCTATTAACTCAAGAAAACTGGTTCTCTTGAAAAATTCGAAAATTTCTCTTAAATCTATTTTCATTCGCCCAAGTGCAAGTTACTTTGTTTTAAGATAATAAGAAAAATACGCCAGGAAGTACTTCATTCAAGAAACATGGCCATTTTTCCAATAGCTAAATACTCTTTTGATGAAAAATAATATCGACACGCAAAGACGATGACGAAGGACGGTATATACAATCAGTCAGTATATTTCCAATCAGTCGTACGTCGCATTTCATAGGTCGCACATCATAGTACGCACGGGTTTTGTTGCTTGGAATCACTTCACTTGGAATTTTGCATAATTTGCTTTTTAAACGCATATCGTATAGCAAATTAGTGATCGTTATTAACATGCATTTGTCATTTTTATGGACAAATTTTAGGATATATGGATTATTTAAAGGAGTTTCTGAAAAATGGAAATTACAGCATTTATTTGCTATATTTGAAGGTAAGAGACATTTACCTAATGCACCTGTTTAGATAATGCATGCATGACTACATATAGAGAGAATAAGAATATAGGTATCGATTTTTTATGCAAATAATTACAAAAATTTTAGAATTTCAAGTCGTCGTATTAAAAAATTCAAAATGTGACCAAAGCTTATAATTTTAATAATTTATTTGCTTTACTTTGATTAATCGTGATGTAACATTTTTTGTAATTTGTAGAGTGATGAACCACCCCAAAAAATACCAAGGAGTGAAGAAGCAGAAATAACTACTATCGAGGAAAATAATCACTTTACTTACTACAGACCACGAAAACCTAAATTTATCAGAAAATAATATACCTCGTAATATGCTTGTATATGATGTATAGACTTCTCTTAGATCAAAATAAATTTTAGTTGAGTTAATAGTATTCGCTATTGGTTTAAGAAAAGTGTCTGTTTAATCAAGAAATGTCCCTTTTGAACAAGAATTTTTGCATAAATCAAAGAGACTATTGTTCTTGTAGCAAGAACTTCTTTGCATATTCATTTTGGGTCAAGAGTGAAATACTTTGGACAGATAGATTCTTCTATTCTCTAAAGTAATTTTTTAAAGCTTATGAAAAGATAGTTAATGCTTTGGGTAAAGAAATGTCGTTCTTGGCCCTATTGAAAAGCGCCAATCTTTTGGGTCAAAGTCATATTCATGTCGACGGAGAGATCCTTTTTTTCAGTGCGGGATTCCGCGGTTCTGAATATTTTGTCTACCGGAATCTCAACAAGTTAAAATATTATTGTTTAAGCAATTTGCTCAATGACAAAGATTCATAAAGAATTTCTTAATCAACATTAATTCTGACATTTTCTATTGTTTTGCAGAACATCATCATATATTTGTAGGAGACCTGAGTCCTGAGATCGAAACGCAGACACTCCGCGACGCTTTCGCAGCTTTTGGAGAAATTTCGTAAGTATTTCTCTCCTTTGGGTCTCTTTAGTTTCATTTTAATTGGGTTTGTTCACATTCAAAATTGCGCCGTATAAATATTTTAAAACGGTTATCCAGGAAAAGAGCATGTTTATATAATGCTCATTCCCATTCGAGAAGCTTATTTTCCGTTTCTATAATGTAAAGCTGCAACAAATACGTACATTTGAGCATCTGAGTTGGAAAAATTATTGTACATCTATTTTTCTTTCTTTCTCTCAAAGATTTAAGTTCTATTTTCGAGTTACTAAAGCAAAAATACTTATCATCTTTCTCTAGGATAGCATGTTGGAAATAATAGGAAGAAATTTAAATTTCCTTGAATCGAATGAACAGTTCGTTAATTGGCGGTCAACTGTTTTCTTTCAACGGTTCCGTTTTGTATAGCAGGAGCGTGAAAAATGGCAATTTTCTTTTAGATTTTTATAGGCATGCACGGCAATGGGAAAACGATTATGTACCAGGAAACTTGCCTATGCCAAAGAGAGTTATATCAAATAAATGGCGAATTTGATAAATTTTACAGTAAAATTTATAGAAAAATTTCAGACCGACTTACTTATAGCCGGTGTTACTTATAGTCAGTGATTTTTTTGTACTTGAACGGTGAATATATAAAAGTATGTTGTGACATTAAATGACAATTTGTAAGTCTGGTTAAAATTTTCGAATGGATTCACCAGATAAAAAACTAAAAAGGTCCACTTTTTTTCCCAGTCATAAATATTTGACATTTATTAAAGCGAATCATTTTATTAATGGAAATAACAGTCTGGCACATGCCAAGTGGAGGAAAGTCAGTCTGGCTGAAAATTTGAGGATGCAAAAATTTTACAGATTTTTGAAATCCGTAACACTTATTTTTTCATTCTTGAAATGTAACGTATCATTTGATAACTTCAGTCAAACTCAAATCTGGCTGATTTACGAAATCGAAAATGAGTACCAAAAATCTTCACTGCCTCATGTACTATTATATATGGTTATTAATCTTTATTACCTAATTAATTCTGTAAGCTTCTAATTACCTTTATAAGAAAAAAACTTCATAATTTCTGCATATATGATAGAAAATCATTAGCAAAGTAAAGGTAAATCTCTAAGGAATAATACAACCTTGGTGTACAACAGTTTCAAATTAGGCATTTATTGCGACATGATTAAGTACTCGAAACTTCGCAATGTTCTTTCTGTAAATGACAAAGTCGACTTAGCGTTATTCCTAATTTGAATTTAACACTCTGCCTGGGCTATTACGTGTTTATTACAGCAGAGATGTGTGTTAAGACATTAAAACAAAAGCAAATGATAATAATTTCTTTCGGATTACGTGACCAGCTACAACAATGGCCAGATACGATGTCAATGTCAAAAAAAATTGTGTGTGTGCTTTCCTCAAACATTAAAATCATAAAGTCTATATATTTAATTTATATTAAAAAAAAACATTTATATCTTCGAAATATTTTATACTAAATCCGCTTATTGTTCAATAAATTAATAAAAGAATAATGGAGATAATAAACACGTACGGATTTTTTTTGTTTAATTATTTAGCAGTTGAAAAATAATTTAAAGTTAAATTGTGCGCGGCTTTTATTTTAGCTAAACGTTTTTTAAAAGCGCTGCGCTTTTTTACAAACTTTTAAACTGTAATTTCTCTTTTGAATAAAAAAAATCCTCTAATAACCCCTTTAAACTAAACAAACTAAAACAAACCAAAAGGAGGAAGCATTAAACTGCAATAAATCTAAGTTAATTTTACTGAAATTATTCAAATTATGTTCTGATTCGATAGATTTTGGCAGAAAATGGGTGAATTTATATGTATATTTAGTTTCGAGTCGAGACCAATTGTTGATTTTCAAGCGATCATTCAGAATGCCAGTCCAATTCTAAAGCTAAATGCCTTTGCATATATTAACTTGACAACTTTTGATCACGAGCCCCAAAAGCATTTTGTTTCGAACAACCCGATGCACGGCTTTAAAACTTATTAACAGAAGCTCGCCTTTGAAAGATCTTTTCGTGCCAGTATCTTAAACTAACTATTTCGCAAGGATTGTTTACTATATTTATTAATAAGATGTAAATTTCCTTTGTAATTATGTTTAGTTTAGAAACATTTAATTCAAAATACAGGGTGTCCCACTAAGAATAGCTCTCGGCTGTATCTCGGAAAGTATTAGACGTAGCGGCTGCGGAAAAAAATATTTTTAACTAAAGAGGCTTTGGGAAATTGCTGGAAATTATTTTCAAGTTTGTAGAACGACCGCTAGGAGGCGCAACTGCAACAAAAAATAAGAAAATGAAGTTTTTACACAATTTTGCCTAGATTAGGTGTATTATAAGTAACAGCTTCATAATCTTCAGTAAATTTTGAATATTTTTTGTCAGAGCCATTTTCTCCTATCTACCAAAATAAAGTGGTGGGGGAAGGTTAGATCTGTTTTTATTTGAATATTAATAACTCTGAACTGGATGACCGGAATCCAACAAGCGACGGCTCGTTTAAAAGAGCGTTTCTTACTCTATATTGTACCATATAAACAATAATAATAAGCTTTTGAACGTAGATGCTAGGGGGCGTTGTCTTACAATTTAACAAGCATTGCGCGTTTTTACAAAAAAATTAAATGCAATAGTATATGTAATTTTAACTGACAGTAAAGAGTAGCAAAAGCTTAAAAATTCAACGTAAACCGCATCTTGATATCTTCTTTCAAACCAAAGATATTAGCAAAATTATAATAAATACCAAAAAATAAGCCCTTAATTACCTTATTTTTACAACACGGTATCAGTAGCCCTCTTGATTATGCCCATTCTAACCTAAAAATACGATAGAAACAGTTAGTTTATTTTAAAATCGACGATATACCGAATTTTAAAATCGACGATGTACCAGAATGTGTGAACACCAGATGTCTAATTAAGATATTAATAATAGTGAACAAGAAACGATGATTCAGTGAAGTCATGGTAGACTTTGGAAAAAAGTTGTTTTTGACGTAATAGTATAAACGTCAAATTGTTATTAGATCAACATTTTGATAGTCTTTTATCTTTTGATTGCTTTTTCAAAATGCCAACAACTTCAACTACTTCAAATAATAAAGGCATTTTGAAAAAGCATTTAAAAGATAAAAAACGCTTCTAAGACTGTCAAAATGTTGATCTAATAACAATTTGACGTTTATACTATTACGCGAAAAGCAACTTTTTTCCAGAGCCTACCATGGCTTCACTGAATCATCGTCTCTTGTTCACTATTATTAATATCTCAATTATTAGATATTAATACATCTGGTACTATGGTATTCTGGTATTTCGTTGATTTTAAAATACACTAACTTTTTCCATCATATTTTTTGTTAGAATTGGCCTAATCAAAAGGGCTACTGATACTGTATTGTAAAAATAAGGTAATTAAGGGCTTATTTTTTGGTATTTATTATAATTTTGCTAATATCTTCGGTTTGAAAGAAGACATCAAGATGCGGTTTCCGCTGACTTTTTAAGCTTTTACTACTCTTTACTATCAGCTAAAATAGCACATACTATCGTATTTAAATTTTTTGAAAAAACGCGCTATGTTTGTTAAATTGTAAGAAAGCGCACCCTAGCGTCTACGTTCAAATCCTTATTATTATTATTTTTATGGTATAATATAGAGTAAGAAACGCTCTTTTAAACGAGTCTTCGTTTGTTTGATTCTGATCATCCCGTCTGGAGTTATTAACATTTAAATATAGATAGATCTAACCTTCACCCACCACTTTATTTTAGCAGATAGGGGAAAATGGTTCTAACAAAAAAAATCCAAAATTTACTGAAAATTATGAAGCTATTATTTATAGTACCCATTATCTAGGCAAAATTCTGTAAAAAATCTATTTTCTTATTTTCCATAGCAATTGCGCCACAAAAAAATTAAGAAAACAAGAATCTGTTCGTTCGTTCAAAGGAAAAAATCGAGACGTTTTTTTTTCCGCTTTGAAATAATTAGCACCTATTTTTAATTATAATATCGAAGGTTTTCACTCAAAGGTGAGTCGTTGAGACTTTTAAATAAATTATTTCGCGCCTAACGTTTAAAAATAGGCCCTGTAAATGATCGTTTGGCGGCAATTTCAAAACAAAATTTAATTAGTAAGAGGGAAAGAACGTCCCCATTAAAAATAAAAATTATTTCTAATAAAAGTGACGTGACTCTCGAGGGTAAATTCTTATTTGGCTGCAATTTTATCGGAGAGGTTGGGTGATGAAATATTCACCGCAGTATGAACGTCAACCGTAATAAATAAGGTTATATTTGCATTTACTTGTAGATTGTTACGGCAGAAAAAACATATTTTAAATATATATCGCATATATAACGCGTTAAGTGCAATCAAAACGCACGATATTCGTACGGGTTTACTATGAGGCTCTTGGATGCAGAAGTTATTCTTTGTTTTTAAGCTAAAGTGACTTTTGCCACCACAATTCTTTACTTTTGTTTGGATTTAAAAAAATATGAGGCGTCAAATTGGAAAAACCTTATCCCAAAAACATTATTTCAGGATAATATGCAAAAACTGTTTTAGCAAATGTTTGAAACGTTTGGTCATTGTTTTGTATCTCGTTTTTCTAGAAATAAAGATTAATATCTAATTTAAAAAAAAATATATGAGGCTGTAAATAAATAAAATAAGTGATTTTAGATCTCCGTATCACGCTGTATTTTTTTTTTCAGAGATTGTCGGGTAGTGAGGGATCCTCAAACATTAAAATCAAAAGGATATGGATTCGTTTCGTTTATCAAGAAAGGGGTGAGTTAAAATTTGTGTTGCCATCCAATAATACGTCTTTTTCTATCCTTTTCTCTTTGTGTGCTTTTTAGGAAGCTGAGAGTGCTATAGCTGCAATGAATGGACAGTGGCTCGGTAGCAGAAGCATTAGGACTAACTGGGCCACTCGAAAACCTCCAACTGCCAAAAACGAAGGTAATTTAGATATGTATTTGTTTCCAGGCTCTATTTTTTTACATATAAGTAAAATATATACAGGCCTGAAGAACTAAAAGCACAAATTAACGAACTAAATATAGCACAGCAATAAAGTAAATCTCAAATTGAATGAATTTAGCAAAAAAAAATGTTCAACGACTACCAGTACAGAGATTCTAATATATAACATAACACTAAAAATAGAAGAATATTTGGGACTTGTAAATGGTCGAATAAGCTGAAAATAATGATGATAATATAGATGCATCATTTCCCCTGTATCATCATCATCATCATTTTCAGCTTATTCAACCATTTCCAATTATGGTGTAGCCTCCCTCAGATATTTAGATATTCTCTTTGTAGTTGGGCCTATTGTTGTCCATCGTTGGCTATGCCCAAGTTATCCCTGTTAATTTCCTAATATCATGGTCCCACTTCAGGTTTGGTCTTCTTCTAGGTCTCTTAATTCCCCTTGGGTACCATGCTGTAATGTTTGTGGTCCATCTTGCCAGGTGTCCTGCCCATCGCCACTTGAGGGATTTGATTCTGTGGATGCAGACCTATTACCTGGGACTTTTGTCGTATCCACTCTATTCTTTTAATGTCTTTCTTGGTTATTCTCAGCATATTTCGTTCCATTGAGCGTTGTGCGACCTGCAGTTTCCCCTGTATGTTACTAAAAAATTGCAAATATCCAAGTCCAACATAATTTTCCTGGGAGCTTTGGTTCTATTTTTTTTTCTATTTAATAGAATTCATATATTATGTCTTTTTCGCTGTTGGTAATAAAATTTCATTAAACTAATATTAATATTATATAAACTTTATTGAATCAGAGATATTGCAAAGTTCAATTATTAAATAATGTAACAAAAAAATGGAAGTGCCCCGACGGAATAGTATTGTTTTTTCCATTAATGAAATTGTGAAGTTACGAACGATTTAACTACAGCACCGGATACAAAATGTTTTTAATTAGAGAATCGTGTAGTTCGATTTATTAGTATTTTTTTAATACATTATGAGCAAATTGCTTTAATAACAGTAATGGTGTAATAATGGAGTTTTTATAGATAAAAGAGGAAATTACTGGATATGTAATTGAGACTGATTCTCCATAAAAGACATCGAGAATAAATGGCCACTAGGGTTTGGAATATGTGGAGAAACCCCAAACAAGAACTCGTTGTTATTCCAGCCAAAGTTGTATATTAGCATAGATAGTTTTTTTTCCCGAGGACTGCTAAACCTTTATACCGAATAACAAAACTTACTTTGATTCATTTTTTATAGAAACAGAAAATTCTCCCCCGTCAGGTAAACAACGTGAGAACGTTTTAAATAAAATTTAAGAGGTGGATTTTTCCGCTTTTAGAAATGTAACAGATGAATTGCAACAGATAGCTTAAAGGAAAGTTGGGAAATCTTTGACACGTAAGTGAGAAAACTTTCATTGAAAATTCATGGAGACATCAGGATTTCAGGGGAGGAATACTTTAAAGCTGTATAACTCACAAGTCAATTAATGAAAGTGCTTGACAAGCTTTTAAGCAGAATTTTTTATCGAGTTTGTCTTTAAAGGTCTAAAAAAACGTCAAGCTCCAAAAAGATAAAGATAAATCAAAGGAACGTCAATTAAATTTTTGTATTTTAGTTTACACAAAATAGTACGTAATATAATCTACTATTGTTTTACTGAAGTTACTGGTATTATATATTTAAACTACAATACGCAATTAAGACCACAGAGCTATAGAAGCTAATTTACGGCAAACAATAGTTGATGGATCTCGAAGTCAATTACACAAATCTTTTGTGCGTTATTGACCTTGCAAACATACAATTCGATTTAATAAATACAACATTATTTAAGTTTCAGAAATGTTCTGCGGGTATTTCGCCACTTGCACTCTAAGAAAGTTTACAAAATAAAATAGTTATTTTTTGTAAACACTGCTGCGGTAATCCAACGAAGACCAACTTGTCAGCCGTGGTTTACTAATAAACAAATTTACCTAACGGACAAAAAAATGCTTAACGCTTCGGGAAGTATATCTCTCCCCGGTTGTCGGAAGCAAAAAAACACAAAGAAACAAATAAAAAACTATTTAAAATCTTTAAATACAACTATTCAAGAACACTTAGGTTTATTTCAACAGATACGTCTATCAAAACCGTTGACGTTCTGTTAAAAAGACATTATATCAAGTTAAACTTCAACTTTTTATTAACTTTTACAACTGTTAATTTATTTTTAATGTTTTACTTATGTGTATTTATGTTATGTTAATTTTGTAGATTTTCTTATGCCGCACAGTGCTTCGTCCCATGGACAAAAATCAAAAAATAAGTTAAAATTTACTAATATCTAAATATATAATTTTATACTTATAGCAATGTTCAACCATCCTGTATATTATTTTTCATAAAGAGCGTTTTTGTCAGCAAATATTTTCACTAAAAATAAATTTTGCGATCAGTATCTCATCAGTGAAAAGAATAACATTCATAGTAGTTCTGTATATTATGGAGTTAAACGGGTACGTACTTAATTGAAAGCCACTATGGATATTGTTAAACAAGGTATGTACTTTAAATTTATTGCTAAACAAGTTCGTGATTGTTTAGTTTTTATTTATTTTTTAAGATGATTCTTAAATGGGTATAAAAATTTTAAGTTTTCAAACTTCAAAAAGGTATTTAAAAAAAACATATCAAAACATATCGTATTTATTGAATATTTTTGTTGCCATAGGTTGTTTTCTTAAATACAACTATTCAAGAACATCTCTTTAGGTTTATTTCAACAGATACGTCTATCAAAAACCGTTGACGTTCTGTTAAAATGACATTATAATGCTAAACTTTTAATCTAACTTTTTATTAACTTTTGCCAACTACTGTTAATTTTATTTTTAATGTTTTACTATGTTTATTTATGTTATGTTAATTTTGTAGATTTTCTTGCTGCCGGGTCCAGACCAAGGGTGACAAAACAACAAGACAGAAATGAGTCTGCTGTTTTACGACAAATTGCCACAAATATTTTTGTTGCCATATTCATACATTTTTAATTTTTGTATAGTTCACCTGCGTCTGCTTGCGACGAACTTTATTTTTATAATACTTTTTCAGATGGAGTAAAATTGATAAGCAATGCCGATCTGGCTAATACTTGGCTTGATCATAAGGACAAGAACTCAAAATTATTTGTATTTCAAAAATATGTGTCTTATTAAATATTGATGAACCTTCCAGTCAAATGAGACACCACTTGTGACTAAAAAAAAAGTCCACTATGTTGGAGCGAAACGTCATAAAAAAGTGTCCACCTTTCAATTTATTATAAAATCTCATACCCAAGAAAGGAAAAAATAATATATGGATATGGTTCTATTAAAGAGTTAACTATTAACATCCGAACCCTCATACTGACAAAATGAACAGTAACACCGCGAAAAAAGTAACATATTAGAAAATGATGTACAGAAATATCTTATATGTGAGGATACTTCATCTACCTGTGATTTGGATACTATAAAGTTAACATGATTGCTAAGAAATTTGGAAGATTCTGTCAGCAGTGATTCTCCTGAACTCAGAGTAGTTACGATCTATGCATTTTGTTGTCCTAAAGTAAATTTATAGTATCTTAAGTTTTTTTTAATTAAATATAACATTAATGTTTCTTTTTCTGAATTAAAGAACATTTTTATCTTATATTAGGCTTATATTGTAGGAATCATGTTCTAATGTTATTTCAATTCTTTTTATCACAGGAATTTATTTAATACTTACACCGTTTTCATAGTTATATAACTTATTATTTGCTTAGATGGAACACAGCCCAACATTATTATTATTTATAAGATTTTTTTTTCATAAACGTGGGACTAAGAACATCATCATTTAGTACAATGAGAGTACTCATTATTTGTGTCAAATAAACCTAGTTTGAATAAATTGCTTACAATAAAAGAGAAGTTTTGGATTTTTGTCCTCTAGAACCATATGTTCGAAGCACTGTGTGCCGGGTCCAGACCAAGCAGACAAAACAACAAGACAGAGAAGAAAGAATCAGTAGGAATGGCAGTGATGCATCGATATGTCATGTATTTAAACCGTCGATACTTGAAACGGTGGGAGGCGGACACACGAGGCGATAACAGAGTTTACGCTTGATGCCATTGTCATACTGTCTCCTACTATAGTTTTGAAGGTAGATTTTACGACAAGTTGTCGGCAGAGAGTGTGGATGCGCGACAAATCCAACAGTCTCGGGCCAGTGGACATACATGGTTAATAAATTGAATCGGGACAACTCCCGCCTAAATTTTTGGACGTACTTTATGCAACCCTGGTGTGGACAATTTGTCTCAAGTTTCAGAATTCCCCATTTTTTGTCGCAAGTTTGTCTTTTTTTTTTGTTTCAAAATCATGTTTACTTTTTGACGCCTTGGTCATCTGGACCCGGCATTAGAGTGCAAGTGGCGAACTACCTATAGGAAGGGTATAGGACTTGAAGAGATAATTCCGCCACAGAGATATAGACATTTTTTATTATTTAAGGTTGATTTAAAATAAGAAAAAACAAGAAGAAAGATGTTAATTAAATCGAGGGAAACTGAATATTATATGGAGTTAATCAAGCAGAAATTTATTAAGTTGAGCTGTATTTAATTAATAGCCTTTTATATTATATTATTCTGTTCGTATATTGAATGGAAGCTCATCGATAATATCCAATTGCTTCGCTCAATTAACAAGAACTGAAACAGGAAAACTAATTGAAATTAACACTCGAAAGTCGTGAAAAGTGCTGCTAAGGAGTGTATTCGAAGTTTTCCTTTCAGGAAGCTTTCGCTGGAAATGGCTCCGACAACAGAAATATCCCCGCCTTGCCGTTCGTTATTTGTTAATAAAGGAGAGGAAAATCTAAACGATGAAGAATGCATTCGGAAAATACGGTTCAGAATCACGTGTGAGAAATATAG